CAGTTATGATTTAAATTGAAAAAAAATATGATTTCTTGGACAATTACAACATTGAAAAGTCATAGTGAATTAAAACGTTTAACAATCAATCCTTTGTAAATTAATTTAAAATAAATAATTTAAAAATATAATTTCTAATTATTTCAGTAATTTAAGTATAAGAGGTTTATAGATAAATTATAATTCTTGAGTTGTAATTTCTATTGATATTGTGATTGTTTTCAATATAAGCATATATATAAGCAACTTCTTTTAAACCCGATCTGTTCTACTTTAGTTGGAATTATTTTTCATCATTTTTGGTCAAATATCTAAACACATGTATTTAATGAAAATTTGAAGAAAATTCGTTTTATTTTTGTATTTAATTACTCAAGTTTAAAACAATATTTTACTCTTGAAAAATACGAATTGACGACTGTTGAAACACTAATGATTGAAATTTAGAACGTCATTTTTATTGAGATAAGTCAAATTGTTTGAAAAAGTATTAATATCAGTGAAAAAATAGACATAGATTTGACTGATCTACTTGTAAAATTTTTTTATCTAGATTAGAATCTTCTTAATACATGATTCTTTTTGTTAAAATAATAGCTTTTTAGATCTCATCATCGTTCTCTAAATTTTTATTCTTTTAATTTTTGAGTACAGTACTATTTGAAAATAAACAGCCGCTTATCAATGCTGAAGTAAGATCAGTTGGAAAATGTTATTATCAAAATAAAATAGTTTTATTTAATAACTATTGTATTAAATCTAATTTTTTTGCTAAAATTCTGTAGTTTCGATTTAGTTATATGACATGATGGCTAAAGTTAAATATATAAAATTACTATATTTGATAGATATAGGATATAGTAAATAAGATTGTATTATAGTTTACCTTCTACTTATGATTTGATTTGATGTATTTTCCAAAATCGATGATGGAGGTACTGATGAGGATGATGATGATGATGTTGATGGGAGGGATGTTCTCTATTTAAAAATTTAATGCATTAAAAGTTTGTTTTTTTTTCACAAGTATACTTAGTTCTCCATGTTTGGAAAAAAACATTCAAAGTGAATAAATCATTTAAAAAAATTAGGAATACGGTTGACCCTGAAGGCCATCCCTGCAACTTCCCGCCAATTCTATACCTAAACGCTTGAAATTGCACTTATGACGTTTTAGAGCTCTTCAAGCTCAAAAACACAATTTATGTGTTATTTTGAGCTTTGCTATGCTTTTGAGCTCTTCGAGCTCAACAGTCTTATCAAAATTTGATGAAACACGATTTTTCTAATTTTCAAACTGCTGTAACTTTTTGATAAATCAACCGATTTTCAACTTTTTTTATGAAATACACTACTTACATTTACTTTTTTTATATTTTTTAATTATCAATTAATTTAAAATCTGCAGAAATATTTTTATAGACAGAATTGTGGCCATAAATTTGGTCCACGATAAGTATTACTTCCATTTGATGAACAAACATAAATAGTCAAGATGACGGGTAGATTTTACTATTTTGTGAGAATTTTTGTTATATAAAAACAAAATAAATGGTGATCTTATCAGCAGTAATACAAATTTATTATAAAATTAACTACTTCTTTCCACATAAATGTTATTCACCAACGAAATCTCAAAACTTTTATTTATACTATTTTAAAAACTGTAAATGGTACTCTTTTTGAACTAATAAACTGACTCTCCTTATAAATAAATCGATTTCTAGTAATTATTCGAAAAATAAGTATAGAATATTTAAAAAAATTAATGAGAAAATTGTGAAAGCTACAAATTAATACTTTTAGTACTTACTATAAAGTACAAGTTTTCTTGGTCAATCTAAAACTAATTAACTAAGTGTAATGCTGATTTTCTAGAATGAACTATTCAAAGTAATCACTCAAATACTAAATAAAAGTCATAATTATGATAACAAATATCGTGCATGTATAGTACGTTGTAAATAAAAATTTTTGAAAGATGCCATTTATGAATACGTACTCAACTAGATAAGTGACATTGAAACAAAATGCTATGTAAGTTTTGGCATGCAGGAAAGTATAATTGGTTGACTGCTATAGAATTTACCGCATAAGCTATATTAAAACATTAAATATGTAAAAAAGCTTATAATAGAGTTATTGTCACAAAATTGCTGATTCTGGTTACTGCAGTTGGTTAATAAAACTTTCAAAAAGACTCAAAGTCGATGTACAGGCAGCTTGGGAAAGGTAATGAGAAGTTCAAGTGGTGAAAAAAAATTATAATAATCCAAATCAACTCAATTTTTTGAATAAAAAAAGTTAAAATCAACTGATAAATATAATTTACGACATAATTTAATCATTAGATGATTTTTAGAAACTCAACTGTTAAGCTTATGCGATATTTCGTAAAATAAAAATTAAATAATAAGGTTTTGTCATCAAAAATTAGCAAAATCGATACAAAAACTTTATGATGTATTCTCGTTTTCCTAATATCATCAACAAAAATATAAGTAAATAATAATTGAAGCAAGATACTGAAACGAGTAGGTGTAAAAATTGATGCATTTCAATTCAAGTTAGCAAAAACTACTGATAATAAAACCAGCCAGCAAATTGTTAGCTATTTTTGATGAAAGTTTATTGAATATACTAATCAACTCAGTGATAAGTCAACATGTGGTAATTAAACAAAAATTGAAATAAAAAATTTTATTTTTAATGAACTTACTTCTTCCAAATACCCTTGAGGTAGGAAACTAAATAATGTATCTTTTGGATACAATTTCAGGTAGGTTTTCAATTTTTTCTTATTTCTTTTGTAGATTGCGGTTCGAGTTTTTCCACGACTGTCACTCATGATGCTAAAATATTAAATCCTGAAATAGATATGAATACTATAAGTAATGAAATTAATTACATAATTTACAAAAAAATTATAAATAATTATGAATCTAATTTATTTAACTATTTAGTAAGTAGAGTTTTTATAAAATAAAAAAAATCTGACTTTTATCTTTCACTCACAAATAAAAGTATAGAATTTTTATTATACGCCCTTATGGCATCCGAAGTGTGTCCCGGGAGCCATAAGGGCGTATAAAATATTTTTTTTTGCATTTCTGCACATTCCGGACGAAAATACATCGATTTGATTAAATTAAAAAATTCAACGATTAATTTTTATAAGCTTAAAAAGTTTATAAAACAGATATTTCACCAAAAAAATGTAATTTTTTCATTTTCTCGAGGTTAAAATAAAAAAAAAATATTTTTATTAAAATGCTCTTTTAATTTTTCAGAATATAAACAAAATTTATATTTTTTAATATTTTTATAGAGTGTTTCCAGGCCTAAATACGGAAAATTAAATTTGTCGGCTGATAAAAAAATTATTTTGTAAATGATAAACTTATGAAAACTTAAAAACAAAAAAAGGCTGTTGTAGATTTTGATGAACTCTATAAGAGCATTTTTTTTGTTTTTTATTTGAGTCATTTTTTTAGTTGTTTCTTTATTTTTTAAATTTTAACATTGATTTTAGTGATCATCGGAGTAATATAAAAAAAATGCTCGTGAAACTTAAGAAATAAATTGTTAAAATATCTGACTTTTCATTTATTTTTAATAATATATATTTCTAATATTAGCGAACAAAAATTTATTTTTACAATTACAGCTCAAATAATGAATTTAAAAAAAAAAAAAATGCTTTTGTAGACAATTCAAATACGCGTCATAGCCCGTTGGAAAAGTCGTACTAATCGATATATTCATGAAGATGTCAATAGTTGAAGTTTTCAATTGTCGGATGTCTGTCAGATTCACACTCATAAATATTTAATGAATTAAATTAGTGTATAAGTCAATTATATAATCAGTTTTGTTATTTATCATAATCAACAGGCAACATTCTAATTTTTTTTATTTCACTAAAGTAATTAAAAAATTTTAACATGACACAAATTGATAATTGTTCAAATACAAAAAAAAATTAGTTTTTTCAATTTGATTATCGACTATGTAAAATTTATGATTACAGGAGATAAATAAATTTTTTTTTCTTTTTAATACTTGGAACTTTAAAAAAAAATTGAATTAACCCTTCATTGGTCGCGCTATGAGGGAATCGCCGCCTAACAACTACTCAACCTATAGAGACTCGCTATAAAAAAAGCGCGACCAACGAAGGGTTAATAATCCTCAAATAAACTTTGTATCATTCTAAAGTCAACTTACCTTTACATCCAAAATGCAACAAAAAAAATGAACTTTTTATTATAACCTTGCAAGTGTGTTACACATCAACTTTAAAACGTGTGCGGTTGCGGTTTATGTTGATTAAATAATTACAAAAATCTTATGGGTAATTACAGCTTTTAAAATTCAATCAACAGTATATAAATTTATATATTTGTTATACTATTGTGATTTAAATATTGTTATTTTATAACACACAATTCAATACGACGTTTATTCACAATGATGAAGCACTTTTGCATTTACTGAAGTTGGTCTCGAAACATCGAATAGTCGAGAAAGATCTGAGTCTTTTTGATCGACATGGCGTCATAGAAAAAGCTGGTCCCTGTTTTCCCGTTACACCCCGCAACTATTTTGCTCCACAGATCTACAAACATGTAACTGCGCACTTTCGCACGCAAGTCCCAACATACCTGCGCAAGCTATTTCGCTTCGAGTCACAGTCGTCATTGTCATTCAACCACAACGTAAAGTTTCGATAACAACCGGCGTTTCTATGAGAATTACATATTCATTTAATATATTACATGCCCTATCATTACAATAAACCATTAGCAAATCTAACAGTAAGTATTTTATTTTTAAATATTATTTTTCAGTAGTTAATAATTAAACAAGATTCAAAATTACAGTATAGTTACATGAATAACTTTAAAGACTGAAATTTTGCATCAGTGTCAGCTGATAATTAATTAAATTTAGTATCTGCAGTTAACTTTACTTTATTAAAAACTGAATATGTTTTAGCCATGGATTTCACTAAGAAATATTGTTGTATTGAAAGAAAAAAGAATGATTTTGCAATTTGCCGGACGAAAGACATTTATTATCAAGATGAAAATGGCTTACATCCGATTACAACAGCTGATCATGAAGTGACAACCTTTTACATACTGGATAATGCACGGAAACCAGTGGCTATTGAAAATTTAAAAGAATGTGGTGGTAATGTTTTTATTTTATTCATATAAATCAACTTTTAATTATCATTCAATGAATTTTTTTATTTAGTCATATTTTGATTATTTCAATAGATAATTTTTGTCTGTCAAGTAGTTCAAATATTTTCAAATGAATTATAATAAAACATTTAACAAAATTTCCATTACAAGTAGACAAGTGTGCGTAAAACAAAGATAAATATCAAAATGAAATGAAGATAGTTTTCCAATACCAACTTTTTTAAACCTTACTTTTAAACATTGTCTTGAAGTATGTAATTCTTTCTTCAACCACGAATATTTTTTTAATATATCTTTTACGTAGAAAAATAGCTTCAAAATTTTTAATATATTTTCAATTCTTAGAGGTTTGAGCAGTGGAAACAGTATAATTTTAAAAAAATTTAAAGATAAAAACTTTTATGCTAAAAAATTCAGAAAAATAAGTCATAGGACTTAGTTTATAGATACAGTCTTACATGCCAGTACAAAGTTATCTAAGTATAAATATAATCAATTGAGGTGAATTAATTTTTTTTAATGACTGAATTAATTAATTTATACAATTTTATCGCATCAAATAAAGTATCTATAATAAGATGTTACTTAATATAATTATCAAAATAATTTTGTTCCTATAATAGAATAATCAGTCAGTCATTCTGATAAAAAATTATAAAAATATATTTTTTTTAATTACGTGTAAAAAATTGAGTAGAAAGATAAATTAGGAATACGAACTTCTAGATCATTACAGCTTCACTTGATGTTATGAGGATTTGAATATTATTATTTACCTTACTATAATAATTCGAATTAGTTCAACTTCTTATCTTCAAAATAGAACGGTTGAAATTACATAGAACAAATATAAATAATATATATATTTTTATATGATTTCATAAATCGTTAATTTTTGCAATATAGTTATGAAATTTTCCATTTTTTGAAAATATAACTTTAGATAGTTATTTAACGTATTTGACATCAGCCTTTCAAAATCTGGGTCACGAAAATATTTATACTAATTTTATAATGTATTTATTGAATATCCACTTTCAGTTCAAATCATTTTATTTGAAATCTATCGAATATTCGAGAATTAAAGTTTTTATGTGTATTTATATACTTAGTGAATACAAAATATTGACTTTACAGATGACAAAGATGCATTGAAGAAATCTATTGATTCAAAACACAGAGTTAAAATTATGAGAAGCTTATCGATTGAGAAGCCACCGGAAAATCAACAGCAAAAAAAATTGAGAATAAGTCGGGTAGAAAAGGCGGATATAATTTTAAAAAGAGTAAGTAATAACTTTTATGATAATTAAGAAAATATCATTCCAACTGCTATGAATTATTTCTTAGAATATAATATTTATATAAAGTTGATTATTTTTAGAATATTGTAACTGCTGAAAAAAAAAATTTAAAGCATTAATTGAAAACATTCAAAATTTTCTCATCTTCTAGCCAATCAAAATTTTATAATTTAGTAGAAAATTTTAAAGTACGCAATAATTTAATCAATGATTCAGAGAAACGTTTATTATGAAAAATTAATGGTAAATGTAATAACGTAAAAGTCAAAATAATAGATTTTCAATTTTTCTACAATATCATATTCAATCAATTTTTCTACAAGTACCTTAGCTGAATATTCTTACTCATATATTTTATTGATAAATCTCCTAGAACCCATTTTAATTTTACAATTCTTTGAAAATGACCATTATTATTATCTATGATACAACAGGCAGTTTAATTATTATTATTTTCCAATTTAATTTCCAATACTACAGAGTTGTTATTGATCTCAAAATTATGATTAATAAAAAAATTATTTTCGGTTACGGTTACAAGTACACTTTTTTTAAGGTTTTCTTACTAAACAATTATTCATTTTTTCGAATTTATTTCTTTATTATTGTTCTATGTTTATGAACAATCAGTAGATAAGTTATTTTTAATTAATGTTTGGAGTAAATTAACTTTGATAATATTCATGAAAGAAATTTCAAAAACAATTTTATTAGAATTATTAATGTATCTTCTAGTTCATGTTTATTCCGCTAATCAATGCATATTATTCTTGAGAAGAATTTTATGTAATGACTAATAAAATCAATCAAATTTAAAGTATGAGAATAAATAGATATACATCTATTCATGAAACAATACTAACCAGATATACTAAACTATTTTTATATTTCAGAAACAGATTAATAATGCAACTAAGCAAGTTATTACTGATGGTGATGGCCAGTATTTAAAATTTGTGCAGGTATGATTGAAAGTTTTTAATATGAAATTTATCTTCTAATTATAGTTTCTAAATTTCTTGTAATATAATTTATAAATTTTTTTTCCTGGAATTTGCTTTGTAGATGAAAAACATTTTTTTTTTAGTATTAAAATTATCAAAAAAAAAATTAGGAAAACGATTGACCCTGAGGGCTGTCCTTGCAACCCCGCTACTTTCGTAATTAAGCGCTCAAAATTGCACTTATTACGTTTTTGAGCTCTTCGAGCTCAAAAATATAGTTTTCGTGTAGTTTTGAGCTCTCTAAGCTCAAGAGTCTGATAGAAGTTTAATAAAAGATTATATTTTGAATTTTCAAACAGCAATAACTTTTGAGTGAATGTACCGATTTTCACGCGGTTGGCGCCATTCGACGCAGTTTTTCAAATTCTATGATATATTTTCAAACACAAATTGATCAGACCTGAAATTTTGGTGTTATTCGAAAAAAACACTTTTTTTCGATTTCTTTTGTTAACGATAACTCACGAACGAATTAACCGATTTTGACCGGCTTGATGGCGATCGACGTGGTTATTTGATGTTTAGATGTGATTAGTTTTTAGGATTTATGGGTCAAGCCGTTTAAAAGTTATCAAAAAAAACCACATTTGAAAAAATTTTTTTTCGCAGTTTTTTTAAGATTTCTCAAAATCTATCAGTCCGAATCGGTCCAACTTGTATTTAAAATCTAAGTTTAGTCGATCCCTTTTGAATGGCACCAACCGCGATTAAATCGGTCAAGCCGTTCAAAAGTTGTGAAATGTTTACACACACACATGCAGACAGACAGACAGACAGACAGACATACATACGGACATCATCGCGGAAACATTCGGGGAAGCTTCTTAGGACCCCAAAACGTCAACATCCGTTGAAAACTCAATTTTCGAAAATCGGGGTGAAACCAATAACTTCCTAACTTTTGAAAATTTTCAATTTTCTTACCGGGAAGTTAAAAATTTAGAATTATTTGGAAAATTTTGGCTATCGAAACTTAACTGGAAAATAAATTAAGTGAAAACTATATATTAATGAGTTTAACCGATAAACTTAATTTACCATCTTTCATAGCTTTAACTTTTTTTCTTATCATAATAAAATTTTGCTAATTGCATCTACTTGTCTTCAAGAAGCAACAAGTTGTCAAAAATAATCTCATTTCTGATTCTACGTCAAAACATTCGGAAGAGGGTTTTTCGACGCTGGATATTTCAGAGGACATGTTCGAAGACGATCTTCAAGATTCGAGTGAACTGCGTCAAGCGAATGATGATGATTTCGAAGTTCTTATGGATACTGAATTACCTGTAATAGATTTCGTGCCTCTTTCTTCTTCGTCACCAATACACTTTGCGATTTCTGCTCATAATGATCATAATGAATCAGATAGTTTCGTTGTACCAGATTCTGATGATCCAGACTCTCGCCATACTTCTCAATCGAAAATTAATTCACGCAATCCGGCTGGTTTCATAAATGATTCAGACTCTGAAGGGAGCTACGATAATTATCAAAATCAGAATAATTCTCAAAATCTGAATAATTCTGAAAATCAGAATAATTCTGAAAATCAGGATAATTCTCAAAATCAGAATAGTTCTGAAAATCAGAATAATTCTCAAAATCTGAATAATTCTGGAAATGAGAATGACAATAGAGTTAATAATAGAGAAGTAAACAATAATGAGACGTCAGCTACAATACATCAACCACTGGTTGAAAATTTTTTTGAAAATTTATGGCCTGAAGCGAGCAGTTCTTCGTCAAACGAAAGAGAATCATTTGTCAGTATAGGACAAGTAAAAACCTGCCTCAAAGAGTTTGGTGGAGAGCTTATAAAAACCATGGCTCAAATGCAGAATTCTCAAAAACCTTCGGAGGAATTCGAGATGCCACCCGTGCAAAATAATAAGGTGAATATAAAAAAATTACTTAAATGTTTAAAAAACAAAGTCCAAAAGATAATTAAAAACTATTGATTATTTAATCATTGTCCAATAGTTTAAAATATTTGTTTCATTAATATTAGGAAATTTTAATTATTACCAATTAATATAAAAACTATTGTTTCTTTTATGAAAACTTGGATTTGTTTTTAAACTTAGTACTTTTGCAGATAGAGATTTTAGGAAGACAACTCGATGCTGATGAAGTTTTTCAAGCAAAAGATGTTGTTAGTATGAGAAAATGTGTAAATCACATAACTCGTGCATATTGGCCATCGGAAATAAGGAAAAAGCTTGTCTTAAGTTCACGAAGAGGACAAGTGAATAGAACGACAATTAAACAAGAGGATATCGATAAAATAAAAAGAAAGATTAATTGAATTTTTTTTAAATCATAAAACCGAGTAAAATACCTCAATACATGTAACAAAAAGCCGACTCAAAATTTCTGAAAAATCTTAATTTGTTGAATAAAACGTCGATGTAATATTTTATTTATTACATTCACCCGAGTCAAAATAAAAAGCTTATAATAAACTTATTATGAGTCAAAAAACTTAGATTAAACTTATCTGGATTCAAAGAATTTATATTGAACTTGCCTTAATTTAACAAACGTATAACGAACTTATCTTGACTTCACGAACTTATAACTTGACTTGACATAAAAAATGATGGTGTAAAAAATAAGTCGAGATAAGTTCACTATAAGTTTATTATTTGGACTCTGGTATATGTCATATAGCTAAAATGCCAAACGAAAAGATACATAAAAAATTGTTAAATGAAACACTGATCCCAAAAAAATATGATATAATAAAATGAAAACACTTTAGCCTGAAGACATGCAAAAAGTATAAAGATAAAAAAACACTTAGCTACTAATAAAGTTTTCTGGTTGTGTAATAACTTTTCATCTATTTAGTGATATTTAAAAATCAACTTGAATAATTTTATTATTTTAAATCAAGTATGAAAATTCAACTTGTACTGTAAACTTTTCTGTTCAATTAAAAAAAAAACTAATTTCTTTAAATGATCTTTTTTGAATAAATTCTGTACCTTCAATCAAGCTGATTTTCCTTTTAAATCGTGTATGGATAGAAGAGAAAAACATGTTTTTATATATAAAAAAGTTAGAATAAAATTATGGTGCTGTAGAAAGGCAATCAATTTAACTCTATTATAGTGTTCACGTTAGTGACATATAATTCACTGTGTGCACGTTGATAGAGCAAAAATTTTAATACGTCTGCATTGACATTGTTAGCCTATTCTTGCTGAGTTAGCGCCATCAAACAAGAAAAATGACGTTTCTGAAAGCGAACAGACATTATACATATACATAATATTCATTTACTTTTAAATTAGTATATGTATATCCCACCCACGTACACAGAGTGAATAAAAAATATTACTGGTATGTTCTATGACTAATTATAGTTTGGTTTCTTTTACAGAAATTTGTCTGTTGATACAAAAAGGCCGAAAGTTTAACGAAAAATTAGAAGAAAACAAGCTTGAAAATATAAGAAAATGGATTGATGACGTTTTGAAAAACGACCGCAGACCACCGTTAAATCCTGAGACAAAAGCATTGTACGCGCAAAAAGCAAAAGAAAGACGAAAGCAGAAGAAAGAGGAGAGAAAGCGCCTGCTTCAACAGGAAAAACAGTAAAAATGGCCTTAATTTTGATTAAGATTTACTTTTAGATTATATTGTTTTTTTTCTTTATTATTTTCTCTTTAATTTGTTTTAAGTTTATGTGTGTGAAAATATTTATCTCATTAATAAATAAATTTCTTTAATTTTGCTATCTATCAATGAACTGCTGTTTTATTACTTTTCCAGTTTAAGTAAGCATTACCAACACCCCATTTTTGCATGTTACTTTAGTCTTTTTTTGCACACTCTGATGATCTGTACAAGTTACTGATTTTTAAAGCTTAGCCAGTTCTTCAGTAACTTCTACTTAATACTATACCAATAGTTGATCATTTTTCAACCTTTTCTTTTTTTTTATCTTTGTACCTTTCTTTCAGACTTTTCTAGACACGACATAACTGGTATCAGGCTTTTTTTTACCTTTTCCTTTTCTGGACTGTTGAGTTTATTATGGAAAATTTGAAAAGTGTTAAAACTGTATTGTAGTTTGGTAACGGAAAAAAGAGAAGTTTAAAAAATAGTTGAGGTCTTCGACAATTTTTGGAAGTTTTTTCTTTTTCTAACCTACAGGACTAAATTTAATTAATTAAATCCTTTGTTTAGATCCATATTTTAGCTAATGTACATTTTTTTCTTTGAAATATTAAAATATTTTAAATTCTCTTGAAAATTTTTTTTTGAAAATTTTATTTTTTGAAGATTTAAAATATTTTTTTTGTAATTTTAATTTTTTTTTTAAATTTCAAATTTTTTTCAAAAAGAAATGCATCCACGGTAACGCAGATTCTTAATTTTTTTAATATTTTTTATTAGCTTAGATAGTAGTTATTATTATTACTGATGGTAACTACAACCATCAGGTTATATTAGGAATTACGATTTTGATAATAGTAGTAACTAATTAAAATAATAACAGTTATTATTACTGATTACCATCATAATAGTAGTTGTTACCATCAGGATGGTAAATACTACAATTCAGATGGTTTAGTTAATTATTTAAATAATATTTACTACTATCGTATTCAGTTAATAGATTTTAACATAACTAGATAATAATTATTAGAGTTTAAACTCTATACTATAAAATTTTCTCCGTCTCCGTTTAATGGTACGGGCGATAATTATAATTTTATATTTATTATAAGTCAACATATTCATGGGTGCATATTACAATTAAAAATATAAATTATTTAATACGAATTTTATTTCACGTCAATCATAAATTATAGTAGAGACAAGTTTTCATTTAATGTTCGACTGTTCTATACATGATATTCATAGTACCTGGGTATAAATATGCCGCTATAAACTATACTCTCACACGGAAAAAAGTAAACTGTAATATTTACTCGGATTCCAGTTAGTTTTTATAGTTTCAAACAGTAAAGAGGACATCGGGGTGGCAAAAATGTAAATATTACAGAACTTAATGTAGAAAGTATAAAGGCCACAATTTATAATTTAATATCCAAAATAAGTGATTAGTAGTTGTCACTATAGTAAATAACGACTCTTTCATCTTTAAAAATTACAGTTTTAAACAGTAAAAATTGCCATTTCAATATATAGTCGATATTATGAGAAGAAGGGGAACTCAGATGAAAGAGAAGGGGGTCTCACTCTGGGAGAATTTAACATTTGAAACAGTAAAAATTATACTTTTAAAATATACATTCTACCAGTCCAAGCAAGTCAATAATTACAGTTTGATTTTTAGCGTTGCGTTTAAAATTTACCATTTTACTTTGTAAATATTGACGTTGCTTGTATTAGAAATTTACTAACTTTATTTTATACTTTTTAGATACGAAATGATAAATATTAAAGTCTGAATTCTTAATTATTATACTTTAACATTTTAGACATTTACATAGCGAATATTACTGTTTGAAATAGTATTTTCTTCCATGTAAAGAGTAAATTGTAACGTTTAAATTGTAAATATTACAATGTGAATAGTAAAATCATGATTTTACTGTTTGAAATGGTAATTTTTAGCAGTTGATCATTACTTATTATAAATCGATTGTTATTTATTACAGTTTACTTTTTTCCGTGCAGCTAAATTTTTTTATATCTTGTCAGTATTTTAGTTCTTAAGATTTACAGATAAAATTATCATACTTTCTTGAGGTCAAAAATCTACAAAATACTGTAGGTTAATTATTACGTAAAATAATCTAGGGATATAATCCTCAGTAAGAGTGATAATTATGGATAGGCATCGATTTGTCGGTTTGCCGACATAAAAGTTGACTTTTATGACTTAAATCACACTTTTAAACTTCCCGCTAAGAAAATTGAAAATTTTCAAAAATCGAGAAGTTATTATTTTCAAACTGTTTTTTAAAAATTGAGTTTCCATCAGATCTTGACATTTTAAGCCTGAGCGTAGTAAATCAACTTTTTTAAATTTTACATCTCTATAATATTTAAAAAAAAAAAACATTTTTAATTAAAGTGATCTTAAGCTTCCAATTAAGTTTGATACATTTTCTTATTCAAAAATTTTGAATTTTCTTACTCCAAAATTTTTTTAAAAAGTTATTACAAAAATTAAAATTCCTAAAATACATTGAGTACGGCCCAGTTTTAAGGTCTTAGGAAGCTTCTCTGACAACTCCCAGGAGGGTATCATGTGTATGTGTGTAAGTATGTGAACCGCTTATAACTTCTAAGCGAATTGACCGATTGATTGCAAAAAAAAATCAGCTCTTAACACCAAAAGAGTGACGTCGATCGTCGTTAATCCGATCAAAATCATGATTTGTTTGTAAGATATCTTTATCAAAAAAATTAATTTTTTTCCATATTACTCCGAAATTTTTCTTATAAGAAATTAGTGCCCTTGATTCTTCCATAAGACTCAAAAAAGTATATTGATTGTCATTAAGCGCTTGAAAATCGGTTGATTTATTCATAAGTTACGGCAGTTTGAAAATTGAAAAATTAATGTTTTATCAAACATTAATCAGATTACCTTCTATCAGAGTTTTGAGTTCGAAGACATATTGCACGCGGCATGTTGCCGCGATTGTACATACAGTTTTCAGTCATTTTATTTCTAAATAACTATTGATTGAGAAAAGAAAGCTTATCTCAAAAAAATTAATCTCAAAATTAATGAAATTTTCGTCATGATAAATTGTATTTCTAATCCATAACTCTGATAAAAATCTCATAAAGTATATTCTGTGGACAAGAAAAACGATTACTGAACCGATCAAAAACACTAGATAAATTAATTAACTGTAAATTTTAGTGAAAAAACCCGTATTAATAACTTATAATGAAAAAAATTGTAAATTTAATGGTGGCTTGACCACGATGATTTAAAATATATTCAATTTTAGGGCTTAATTTTTTTTTTTCAATCTTGTCATTAGACTTTATCGGAGAAATTTACTAAAATAATCACGGCTTGATATTGTTTCATGCAGTTGTACTTAAAATCTTTCAACTGACAGCAAAACATAATTGTCTGTTTTGTCCGCCATATGTTGTGTTTTTATTGTAAACAAAGATTTTATTGAGAGTCAATGGTCGCATGAGCTTTGGCGCTTGTAACTAACGCGACAAAACATATTTCGGTGCCCAACTAACGTTAAAAACTACAGTCCACGGGAAAATTTAAACAACCACTAAGTTTTTTTAAAATTAACTTATAAATTATTATCTTCTATTATTTTTTTGAATAATTTTTTTTCTGCA